GACATGGATTCTGATTAGACTGGACTAATCTTGGAGAAACAAGGTGGGTGAGGTAATATCTTTTATTGGCCCAACTTCTATTGGTGAAAGAGACAAACTTCCAAGTTACATAGAGCTCTTCTTCTGGTCTAATCTTGGCAGGGAGTGGTCAGGGCCTGATTCCAATCACTCGCAAATCAGCCTGGAGTAAAAGTCCTTAATCCTGAGGCCACTCAGAGCCTGTTGTTGAGTCTGATAATAAGGAAACGTTAAGAGAAATGAACAGCATTTACAGAGGCTTTTATCTCACCCAGATACTTATCTAGAGTCCCAGTAAGTTCTGAAAGCAATTCCACAGCACCCGCCATCCTTCCTCTTAGTTAATGTCCCCCAAAACAGTGGCTGGGCTGAGGCAAATTGCTATTTGATAGCAATGCAGATAGAAATTTAAACAGGCATTATTTGTGTTCTATTTCCTACTTAAAGCAGTGCTATATCCTGCTGCTCACAGGATGTTACTGCACATGCTCAGTTACATGTACATGCTCTACTCTTTTTAATATTACAACACGTTTCAAAAACACCCCTCATTTAATATAAAAGCAAGGGAGAGAGGTAGCTCTTAGCTTGTCAACTGCCTTGGACAGGTAAAGGCTAGATTGTACAAACTGCATGCAGCCCAGAGTAAGGGACAATGGCAAGCTTCACCTCCCCTTGGGGAAGCTCAGTGAGATAGTTTGCCTCAGGGAGGCAGAATTCTTCCTCATTTTGGGGTGTGGGGGGGTGCGCTTGGCCTTTCAAAGGCTGTTTACTCCCCACCCCTTGGGCTGCATAGAGGGAGCAGTCCCAGTATCTGCCAAGTGCACGGGTTGCAATTGCAGCTGGCCCTCACATGGCCCATGCAAGGTAAGGGCAAAGGCTCCATATGTCTCATACCATAATTCAGTACATACAGTTAGATAACCTCAGTATTTAAACGGCCAAAGTATTTCCTGTAGTAAATACAGATCTGTGCCAGGGCAGACTGCAGCTGTGGAGATAATCTCATTTATTTACCTTAGGCAAAACTGGTGCATGAACAGGGGCCACCGCTGTTTATTTTAATGTGGGTCCTTTAGAACTGTGTTTAAGTATCACAGATAGTATATGGCCAGTGTGCTCATCTGTTTTGCCTGCACCTCTTATTTTTCACTTGCATTCTGCGTAGGAGAAAATATACAAGTTCCATTTTGTTTAGGCACTTCACCATTTTGTTTGTCCATCATGTTGGTGCCCTTCTTTTTGAGACTATTGGCTCCTTTGTCCCTCTGAGGTGGGAAAAGAGCAAGGGTCACTTGGTACGTGTTCAGCCTAGTACCAAGAGAACATAAAAGACTGCTGCACCTGAGAGAAGGGGCTATCATTCCTGGTGGCAGCACAGTGCATGTCCTAGCAAGACTTTGAGGGATCTACAGAAGATCACAGAAGAAGATCCAAACTCCTGTTCCTGTCTTACCCGTGTCCGAGGATCCTGCTGTACCTCGTCCATGAAGTCCATTGTCGTGGGTCCATTCCTCTGAACCTGGTGTAGTATATCTGTACCTTACCTGTGGCAAATTCCCTTGTTCTGTGGGTTTGGGACCTTGACTTCATGTCAGTTTGTTAAGCCAACCTGCACCTGAATACCCTTTGTTTATGGTTTTATTTGGGGGTCCTATTAGTTACTTTTTAAGTCTTTGTTAAATAAATCAATCAGTTTCATAGTTAAGCCTGTCTGTAGTTTCTCGCCGATGATAGTTGCCGGTTGGGGGAAACAAATCTGCTGGATGGGGCTTTAAGGTGTGGAACTTAGGGCCCATCCAGTTAACCACTAACAAAATATAGAGAGTATTCCTGGTTAACATCTGCTGCAATTATTCCACCCACAGGGATAGGGCTACATATTGCATTCCTCCCTGTGTATTGTGGTTGGTGATGTGCAGTATAAAGACTAAGGTCATGTCTATACATACATCACTGCAGTGGTGTAGCTGTACCGATGCAGCTGTGGCACTGCAGAGTGTCTGGTGAAGATGCCCTATGCCGGATGGGAAAGCACTCCCATCAGCATAATAAAACCAGCTCCGCAAGCGGCAGAAGCTATGTTGGTGAGAGAAGTTCTCCCACTGACATAGTGCTGTGCACACAAGCGCTTATGTCAGTGTAACTTATGTCCCTTGGGGGGGGGCAGGTAGTTCGCAACCGAGTGACACAAGGTATGCCAATAAAGGCTGTAGTGTAAACATAGTCTAAAACTAGACTTGAGCCTTTGTCAGTGTGTATGTATTAAGCCATGTACTGCATGTGTAAGCCATGGATTAAGCCATGTACTGAATACAAATGTCACAGCACCCAATGAAGTGGGTAAGAATTATACAGTTGGGGAAGAACAAGCCCAGGTATATCTCCCTTTATTTATGCAGAGTGGAAAACAAATGTGGGCAGAATTCGGAGTGTGTGTCAAAGTGAGGGGAGCAGGTTCAGAGCACACTCAAGGATCTGCATGTTGAGAAGGCCTGGAGCAGCACACGGTGGATTTGCAATAGGAAACCCGTGTAAAAGTTAACACTTCTCCAGAGTAGCATTAACCCGCTCTTGCTTTGTGGATATTACCAGTGCACTTCCCCAGCCTCATGTTTTTCCTCAGAAGAGCATGATCAGGCATACAGAGTGGTTAAGTCACTGGTCCAAATCAGCACCAGAGCTTGGATGAGAACTCTGGAAGGGTTTCTGCTCGCCAGGTCTCTGGTTAGTTTGGAAGGCTGTGCAGCCCCTCACAAATGTTTCTGAAATGCAGAGATGTGTACAGCACAACTATAATACGCTGTTGGAGTTTAATAAAATAAGTGGAAAGAAGCAATTTCCAAAGCATTTCATGAGCAGCACAGGATGATTTACAGAAGCTAGAGGCTCCATGTTCACAGAAAGATAGCGCCTCGCAAATTACTTATCTTTCAGATCAGTCACTCGAGAGAGATACGGAATGGTTTAGAATCATTACCAAGGAGTGATTTGTATGCATAGAAGCTATTGCTCATTGCAACATCTCCCTTGTAAAATACAGATGATTAAGTAGCATGCTCCCTCAACTAATACAAAGTTCCTTGTTTCCATACTCATATAGATTCTCAGATAGTATCTTAATCCCCGCAATAAAAAAATATTGGCTAAGAACTATTATTTCCTTTATATTTGTTTAGCAAATCATATAAAAATCAAATACCCTCTAAAAGGGTTTGATGGTTCACTGGATAATTTTAGGGGAATGGAACACAAAAACTGCCTCTCCACTAGCCTTTGGAGAGCATTGCTCCTGACAGTGTCTTCCAAGCTCCACTTGGAACTCCCCATCGAGCAGGACCTCCAAACCATGGAGGGAGGAGACGAACAAGGAATTGCAGACTCTGTATGTATGCAAAAAAGGTAGCCAAACATCTGCCCAGTTCTTATGTGCAAACTGTTATTTGCAATATATGATTGTGCATGCACAATTTCACTTCCAAACTCAGAAGTTGGTTTTAGATTAGGGTCATTAGGTCTCTTTCTGGAAGTTATTGGCTTGGCCAAAATTCAGTAAAATCTATTTTATTACAGAGGAGTTTGGATTTTTAAGATGTGTGTTTGGCATTTATATAACTCAAATAGTTTTGGTCTTATTAACATGTAGATTTACAGTCCAGTTGCTCCTGACAATGACTACTTACTTAGTTCATTTAGAAAACAAGTTACGGTGTTTCATTTTAGCAGAGAGAACTGACACCCATAACATCCTATTTTGTTTTCCTTGCTTCCCTTCTCTCTCACACATACTCTAAAAATGTGACTTGCTTCTGCTGTATTTACTCTTTGCCATTTTTAATTTTTGGACTCAAATGTAATCTGTACATTTAAATCACAAAACCCCTTGCATTTTAATAACATTTACAGCTTGATTCACCATGTTCTGCCTGTACATTAGTGTAAGATGCAGAAAATAGATTGGATCTCTTCCAATGGTTGCAACTGGAAACAGTAATAGCAAGGAATTCACAATTAAGAGTAACATACCAGATGTGCTCCAACCACTAGTAAAGATATTAACAAGGGGCAGTTACATCTGCCTTCTCGATTCATTATATTTTATTTGTCTTTAAGGGCAAATTCTGGAACCAGCCTCAGTTGCTGAGCTCTGGGGATCTCTGTGTTAGTTGAGGTGGGTGAAAGAATCCCCTGGGCTGCAGTTGCCCACCCACAACCAGTGGTGCTGTCCCTTTGTGGGACACGCCTACTAATCAGCAGGCCATACCCCCTTGGATGAACCTACTGGCTGGTGCAAGAGCACTGACAATTCCCCAGAGTCCTTCTTCCTTGCAAGGGGGAGTTGGGATAGAGATTCCCCTACATTCTATGCTCCCATGCAGCACCCAGTTAGCAGAGGGCAGGATTTTCTCTTGATTTATCTGAACATAATTTGGAGGGCTGTGATTTTTTTCTCACTGTTCACAGAAGTGAGAAACTAACAGCACTGGCTGAAGGCAGACATTGAACCGGCATTGTGCACAGCATGTTTCTCCAGGCAGTTATGCCAATTCCTCTCAATCCTGATGTGGACACCTTGCCATGCCAATAATGGGCTTCCCTTAAGCGCAGAATGAAAATCATGCTGAGTCCTATAACTGCATGTTTCTGTGACTACCCGCGTGGAATGAATTGGAGGACTGGGGCCTAGGTTACAAGCATTGTATTCATTCTGCTTTTGAAAGGTTAAATTGTAATTTCTAGAAGTGACAATTCCATTTCACAGTAACTTTTGAAGTTTCAAAATTTGATTATGTGTATGCATGCACTGGCCCAGGATGTGGGATATCCAAGTTCAAGTCCCTGATTGAGAGCAGAGAAAGAGAGAGAATGAACCTGACTCAGGTCCTTCCAAATTTAGAGACTTTGTGTAACCTGAAATGTAGGAAAATGACCAGATCAGATGCAACCTTGACTTGATAACATTTATTTAATATTCTCTGAAATATGCAAGAATTTGAAGAAGCACATAAGCAATCAAATGCAGCCACAGAAAAACCATACTGTGTATAAATAAGATGCACTATGAGAAATACACAATATTGAATGAAACAGTACTGTACATTAATAACCTTTGAGAAACAAACAACTCAAACTATAGGCTTAGTTTACTCACGATATAAAAACCTTGACTTTTAAAGAAAAATATAGATTCAATCCAATCCTAGGGCCAGAGCCTGTACCCACTGAAGTCAATGGCAGTTTTGCCACTGATTTCAATCAGTTCACGATCAGGTCCTTAGTTTGCCTCCACAGGCACTTTAATTATATATTATTTTTACAAGGCCTAGCTTGAATACTATTACAAAAATGACAAAAACATCAACTCAAAAGTATGTGTCAGCAACTTCCAGAAAAATAATGCAGAAATAGGTTATCTATCCATGCACAGAATAAGGCAAAAGCTAATTCATTCAGGTTAGGAATAATAAATTTTACTAATTTCTTTTTCACAACACAAACATTTTAGACTTTTTTTTAAATTAATGGATATATTATGCATCATATTATTTTCACTTTTTCCTATCTCTACTGAGAAAGCTGGCACTGAGATGTCAAAAAGGAACTGTTCATTGATTAAGCTTACTGTATTTTGTTCTGTAACAACCACAGAATTTCATCTGGGTTTATTAATAGTGTCTACCATGAAAAAGCACACACTATTATAAGCTAACAATTTATAGAGTTGAAGGTACATTAAAATGTAATCCATGAATTTCAAACACTCAGTTTTAAAATATTTTTTCAGACTAAAAGCTGCAGAAAATTAGTTCTTAAATATTCTACAGAAAATTCTGGAACATCTAACATTTTAAATTTCTCACGCTTTCTTCTTCTTAAAAATATTTAAATTAATTTAGTAGCCCATCCTTTTGAAAAATAATCCGAAAAAGATACAGTCGATTACAAATCTTTTGTTTTAATTAGCGTGACCAAAGGTTTGTCATCAGGGCTGTAATCTTCATAAGCAATGGGGGTTGCATCATACATTGCAGGTCGGGATTTCTTTCCAAACCTAAAAGAAGAAAAAAAAAAGGCTTTGGTGATAAACAGAAGTACATACATGTTAATTGTAATAATCCACTGATTCATGGTTCCCTGTCAGAAAAATCTTTAAGGGAACACTGTAAATTCTAAACCATATTGCAATATTTCTTGCAATCAATAGTAAAAACACAGAAGGAATGTTTGAACTATATGGATCCCAGAAACCAACCCCTAAAAAGAGTAAGGAACAGATTCTGCACCCCAAGTCATTGGAGGTTTTACCACTGAATTCAACAGAATCAAAGTCAGACACTAAGGGTGAAATCCTAGCTCTGCTGAAATCAGTGGAGAAGCACCCACTGACTACAATGGGCCCAGAATTTCACTTTAAGAGAGTAGCACTTCCAAACAACATTGAGGTTCCCTGATTTCATTTGACACAGTTATCACACACTGTTCATTGTTTTTCCTCTTCCTATTTGCCATCTATAGATAAAACTGCATAGCCAGGTTGAATTGTGAACTGGCAGATGAAGTGTCAAATAATTCAACTGGTACAGTTTTGCTGACTAGATATATCCATTAGCGGCAGGTTGAAACTGCCAAGATTCTATAAAAATTTGGAATGCCGAGAAAACATTAATGCCTTTTAGGGCATCACTCTCACGAACACTTATTAAAATGTTAGGCAAAAAATATGCTGTAGATATGACCTAACTGTAGAAAAAATGCCTTCAGAAATAGTTGCAACTAACTGTAGGAGCTTTAAATAAAGAAATAGAATCATAGGGATAAAGAGATAGAAAAGACCTCAAGTCTATTTTCCTTACAGGGCTCCACCACATAAGACTCTGAAAGTGAAATAGAAGGCCTCTCAATTAACATACAAGGAATTCCTCTAATTTTAGATTCCCATTTAGTTCCCTTCATGCATACGAAGTGTTAGCTCTACTAATGAAAAAAACAAGGTGGGTGAGATATTATCTTTTATTGGACCAACTTCTGTTGGTGGAAGGGGCAAGCTTTCAAGCTTCACAGAGTTCTTCCTCGGGTCTGTCTCCACTAATGTAAGCTATTCACGCTGGAAATTGTGACTTAGAAATTGTGACGTTTTGAAGAAATTATTTAGGCTAAAACAAAAATCAATCCCATATTGTTTAAAAAAATTGTATACAATTTCCCCTTTCTCCTGCTTTACTCCATGGCTGTTTTTGGTGAATTGCACCAACCAAGATGGGTGGAAATCCTATAATTTGAATGATGCAAATCTCATGCAAGGAAAACACTCCAACTCTCAACAAGCCTAGAGTGAAAAACTTGTTTTGACTTTATGACTGACAGCTTTCTTCCATATTGTACACAAAGTTAAATGTATTTGGGCCATTGACTTCATTGGGGATAAATCTGTGCTTTAGTTGATATTCCAAGATCTATGGGATGAAGCACCCTTATGGCACGTTACTAATCTATACGCTAAAGATGAATTTCTGAACCATCCCCTTCTCTTTCATTTTCAGGGGGAGTTAAAGATGCAGATCTTTTAATAGGCATGAAAGAAGATGAAAACTCTCTGGGGATTTATGGTGACATCCTGCCCTTTTTTGGTAGAAGCACACTGCAGGTGCTGAGAGCATACTACCGGTTGCACACCTTGTACAATACAAGATCCATTCTCCTGTGAAGATCAGGGTGGGCCACGGTTGACTAGCACACGCTAAGACAAGACAACAGCACCTATACTAATTGTTTGTGGCCTGGATGAGCCTTCTAGCTAATAGACCACATGCCTTTGATCAGCCAGTTCAGACACCAGGTTCGGCTTATAACACTATAGCTAGTTAATATATTACTCAAAGGTCTCAAAATGTAACTATAAATGGGGAATCATCATGGAGCAGGTGTGCTTCTAGTGGAGTCCTGCAGGGATCAGCTCTTGGTTCTATGCCATTTAACATTTTTATCAATGACTTGGAAGAAAACAAAATCACCAACAAAGTTTGCAGATGACAAAAAGATTGGGGGAGTGGTAAATAATGAAGAAGACGGGTCTCTGAAACAGAGTGATCTGAATCACTTGGTAAACGGGGTGCAAGCAAGCACCATTTGTTTCCATATGGCCAAATGTGAGGTTATACATCTAGGAACAAATAATGTGGGCCATACTTACAGGATGGGGGACTTCATCCTGGGAAGCAGTGACTCTGGAAAAGACTTGAAGGTAGTGATGGCTAATCAGCTGAATGTGAGCTCCCAGTGTGACTCTGTGGCCGAAAGGGCTAATGTTATCCTTATACATATAAACAGGAATGCTGAGAAGGAGTAGAGATGTTATTTTACCTCTGTATTATTTGGCACTGCTGTGACCACTGCTGGAATACTGTGTCCAGTTCTGGTGTCTGCACTTCAGGAAGGATGTTGAAAAATTAGAGAGGGTTCAGAGAAGGGCCACAAGAACGATGAAAAGACTAGAAAACATGGAATTAACTCTATTTTCCTGATCAAATAGAAGGTTATAAGTTGATTGATCACAGTCTATACGTATTTACGTGGAGAACATAAATTTGATAACAGAGGGCTCTTCAATCTTGCAGACAAAGGTATAACAGTGTGATTTATTCTCCATCACTGAGAATTTTAAAATCAAGATTGGATGTTTTTCTAAACCGGATGTTCTAGTTTAAACGCAGCTATTGGACCTGAAGCTGTAATTAATATACAGGGGTCCTGTGTTATGAAAGATGTCAGACTAGATGATCACGTTTCCTTCTGGACTTAAAATATTTGAAAAGACAGTTACCTTTGTAACTGTTCTTCTTCGAGATGTGTTGCTCATATCCATTCCAATTAGGTGTGTGCGCGCCGTGTGCATGATCGTCGGAGAATTTTTACCCTAGCAACACCCGGTGGGTCGGCTGTGGAGCCCCTTATGGCACTGGATATATACCCCAGCTGACCGAGCACCTCCTCAGTTCCTTCTTGCTGGCTACTCCGACAGAGGGGAAGGAGGGCGGGTTTGGATGGATATGAGCAACACATCTTGAAGAACAGTTACAAAGGTGAGTAACCGTCTTTTCTTCTTCGAGTGCTTGCTCATATCGATTCCAATTAGGTGACTCCCCAGCCTTACCTAGGCGGTGGGGCAGAGTGAGATATTGCTGAGTGCAGCACCGCTGAACCAAATGCAGCATCGCCTCTGGACTGATGGACTATCACATAGTGAGAAGCAAAAGTATGTGTTGAGGACCAAGTGGCAGCTCTACAGATCTCCTGTATCGGGACCTTAGCCAGGAAAGCAGCCGACGAGGCTTGAACCCTTGTAGAATGGGTGCTGAGGGACTTGGCTGGGACGCCGGCTAGGTCGTAGCAAGCACGGATACAGGACCTGATCCAAGAAGAGATGCACTGTGAAGAGACTGGGAGGCCTTTCATCCGGTCAGCCACGGCAATGAAGAGCTGGGTCGTCTTTCTGAACGGCTTCGTACGCTCAGTATAGAAGGTGAGGGCTCTATGAACGTCTAGGGAGTGCAGCTGTTGCTCCCGTCGAGTAGCATGCGGCTTCGGATACAAGACCGGGAGGAAAATGTCCTGGTTGACATGGAAAGTTGATACCACCTTCAGAAGGAAGGCAGGATGAGGACGTAGCTGCACCTTGTCCTTATGGAAGACCGAGTACGGTGGTTCCGAAGTGAAGGCTCTGATCTCGGATATGCGCCTCGCCGAAGTGATAGCCACAAGGAAGGCTGTCTTCCAGGAGAGGTACAGAAGGGAACAAGTGGCCAATGGCTCTAATGGAGCCCCCATAAGTTTGGAGAGGACCAGGTTAAGGTCCCACATGGGGACCGGTCCCGCACCTGCCGGTAGAGACGGTTCAGCCCCTTGAGAAACCTACCGACCATAGGGTGGAGAAGACCGAGTGCCCATGTGTTCCTGGGTGGAAAGCCAAAATGGCTGCCAGGTGTACCCTCATGGATAATATTGCTAGACCTTGCTGTTTTAAGGAGAGCAGATAGTCCAAGATGAGAGGCACAGGTGCATGCAGGGGGGACGTGCCTTGTTCGGCACACCAGCAAGAGAAGCGCTTCCATTTGGCCAAGTACATGGCTCGAGTGGAGGGCTTTCTGCTACCTAGTAGTACCTGCTGCACCAAATGGGAGCAAAGGAGCTCTGAACGAGTTAGCCATGCAGCATCCATGCCATAAGGTGGAGGGATTGCAGGTCAGGGTGACAAAGGCGGCCGTGGTCTTGTGAGATCAGATCCAGCCAAAGCGGGAGTGGAATCGGAGTGTATACCGATATTTCCAGTAGCGTGGTGTACCAGTGTTGTCTGGGCCACGCCGGGGCTATCAGAATCAGATGCGCGCTGTCCCTGCACACCTTGAGCAGGACCTTGTGGACCAGCGGGAATGGAGGGAAGGTGTAGAACAGCTGGCCCTTCCACAGGAGCAGGAAAGCATCCGAGAGGGAACCCAGGGCGTGACCCTGGAGAGAGCAAAACATCTGGCACTTCCGATTGCTGCGTGAGGCAAACAGGTCTACCTGGAGAAACCCCCACCTCAGGAAAATGGAGTGGATGACATCTGAGCGAATTGACCACTCGTGGGACTGGAAGGACCTGCTGAGGTGATCTGCCAGTGTGTTTTGTACCCCTGGGAGAAAGGACACCACCGGATGGATAGAGTGAGCTGTGCAAAACTCCCACAGGCGAATGGCTTGTTGATGTAGAACATGGCCGTGGTGTGAGTACCACCACGCAACGGCCATGTAGTTGCTGCCGGAATACTTGGCATGCCAGGCGCACTGCCATCAATTCCCATACATTGATGTGCAGCGATAGTTCGTCTGTGGTCCATAGACTTTGTGTCCAGAGGTCCCCGAGATGGGCACCCCATCCTAGGGATGAAGCATCCATGACCAGAGACAAAAGAGGGTTGAGGAGAGTGGAACGGAACCCCTTCGCATACTGTCCTGGGGTCTAACCACCAGTGGAGAGAGGTCAGGATTGTTTCCGGGACGATTACCACCGTGTTT